CTAATGTATATTGCTTAATTCCTGAAGAATTCATCACCAATAACTATCTGGTAATAATTTTGCAAGCCACCAAAAAAGTACTAGTATTACAAAAACTGATACATATGTTTTGGATACCATTATTTATCAGATTATAAAAAATAATTTAAATGTTAGTATATAAATATCAGATCAATTTTAAGTCCGACGTCCCAAAATTTGGCAGAATAATATTGAATTTTTTTCATAATTAAAACTTTCATAGTTTTAAAAACATATCTACCAATTTTCATAGCATTATATCTTTTATTGTTTTATATTTGCTGAATACTTAAATTGATGTTCATTTATATATATTCGATTGAATGTTAGTGCACTGTACATGTACATAATTTCATTTCGAAATAAACTCTAACATGGTGGTGTTGTGGTGCAATGAACCTAAACTCATCAACAAAATTTTATGTTCTAAAATTCTAGACTTTTTAACTAGGAAGTAAATATAAAATTCAATCATAGAATAGGTCTTTTTAATTCTTTTATTGGATTAGATTTTGTATTTACTTCCTAGTTAAAAAGTCTAGAGTTTAGAACATAAAATTTGTTGAATTGCACCATACCGATACTAGAAAATTTCCATTTTAATTTGTTCGATAATCTACATATTTATTGGTGATGTAATGAACTCTAAAAATTATTACTTGTATTATGGAAAATCACAAATCAAATTATATTTTTCATTTCAAAACAATAGTTTTAATCAATCTGTACCAACTAAACGACAGTCGAGTTATTTTATGAAAGATAAAATTGAGCTCTCTCCAATTGGGTTTGTATGACTTTGATGCCGAGCTAGATAGTTGTAACCTGAATACGAACATATGTGTGGCCTTTAAAAAACTTTAAAATAGATGAATTATATTGAAAATTGCGAATGTGGATTTGATAGATATACTGTTATGACAAATCCGACACAAGAAAATTAGAAATGAAATATACAGAAAAAGAGTGCTTAATCTGCCTTGAAGCTCTAATAAAAAATGTCGGGGAAGCAATTTTACATATAACCTTGATCTCCACTCTAACCCTAACCCTAACGCTAAAATTAACTTTTAATATCCTCAACCAATCAGAACTTGGGGTGGAAAGTTGATTGACTTTTTTAGGTTCAAAGCACAGCCACATGTGATAGGCGCAATCAAGTTTTTCTATATACGTACGTACATAAGTGGGAAATTTCATAACGATAACGATAATGATAAACGTTAGTGGTTAATTCAATCTCGTAATTTAGAAGCTTTCAGTTATATCTGCTGTAAGCAATAAAAGTAACACCCATTAACAAAGTGATAAGATACTCATGTAGAGACAAGTATAAATTTTTATTCAATATGAAACATCATTAAGATATTCAATAATAATATATAATATAAAGGTTATAATAATCAATAAAAGAAAAATAGAGCTTTGAAACGACAAGCTTTTTTACTGGTTTGTTCGCAATAGTCTTGTTGTTGACACGACAGCATCTTTTCACGTTAACGTTGAAACAAATCAGATAGCTAAGATTTAACGTTAAGAAGAGATAAATAGTTTTCTTATCGTTATTATTGTTTTTTTGATAACTGCATGCATCATAGAAAAAAGTATTGTTATGCATCTGTATGTGCTCCTTTTATTATTTACTATTTACATGTAATATTTACAGGTGTACATGTATGCAAGTCAAAAAAGATACGTATTGATTTCAATATGTACATGTACTTGCAATCGAATTTTTCTTATAAATAGGACTTTAAAATTCTCACATTCTTCACACAAAAAATGAATTTACAATGCGTCAATCGGTTTCTTGCATTCTTGATCGTCAATCTCTGTTTGTTCATGGTTGCTGCAGCACCTATTCAACAAGATACTATTCCAGGTATTATAAGCGTTTTGGATGATACTACAGTTAACCTGGGTTCATGGCAAGCTTGCGGAGCTACTACGGAGGCGGGAATCGGTGGTACTGCATCTCTTCTAAGACCTAATACCGTTATTGGTAATTGCAAGAATGGAAATATACATATTACTTGAAGTAGTGATTGGTTAACCACAATTTGTTTTTATCACTATATTATTAATTTCATATGTGATGTTGCAAATAATAAATTCACTGTGGGCTGAGTGCAGTAAAAGGGGGAGGGAATCAACAACTGACGAAGAATTTTTTTAATCTCAATTGATGTAAAATAACTCGGAAACATTGTTTCCCTAATAAAATTTTGCGTTATTATTGAAGTATTAAAAAATCGACCTTGTCCGGGTTGTCAGCCGTATGGTGCAAGCATAAACTTATTGACTAAGAATTAAAGCAAAATTTAATCCGTGAATATGATTAAGAAAGGCCCATTCTATCATATACAGTGCTCGTCAGAAGTAACCTACCCCCATTATTGTAATCAATATATTCTATAGGAAGGTGATTGTTTGCTTTTAATTTGTGTTAGTTTGGTTTTTTAAAAAAGGCGAGATAATTTAACCTTTACATCTCTAGACATCACGCCTTGATTTAATTCTTTAAAATTCTCATCTGCAAAAAAGAAGATGCTGGCCGTAATTAATGGGTAACCTTTACAATGTTTGCATGCCATATCCTGCGAATTTGTCATTGAACATGAAGCATTGTCATATACCAGCAGCAAATTTTAACTGATACCAGGAGTACAGTGGACGCTCGATACAATAACGTGATCGGGGAAGAGATTTGGTGTTATTATATCGAGATGTTACTCTATCGAAAAAATAAATACTATGAAAGCTTATTACAGTATCTTGAAGAGTGTTACTGTAACGAGCGCTCACCGTCACTGTACATACATATGTATCTACAGTGACGACATTCCCATATCGCTATACGTATGTTGTTGGATCAAGAAAATTGGGTTTTGATGAAGGGAGAAATATTTCAAAAAATAAAAATAATATTGAACAGGAATATTTATTAACTTCATTTGGAACACAGAAACTGACACTTGTACATGTAATTACAAGACTATGCAAAAAAGTTTGCAATTACATGTACATGTATATTGATATCGATATGCTTTTCTTATGTATACTGATAAGATAACGATACTGAAACTTGTATTAACGAATTGTGTAATGTTAAATTTTCTTATCGTTACGCAATATTATATCGATATCGATATGGGGCAGTATCAGGGATAATCCGAAACGTACGCCTGCATAAAATAAAGTCAATTCGAAACAATGAATATAAAAATTCTTTGTTTATGATTTGTATAGGAAACGCACACTTTTATTTCATAATCTTTTGTGGATGCAGACTTATTTTTAAATCACATGAATATATATAGCTGTCATATTTCTAAGAAATATTCATGAAAAATTTACTTACGTAAGAGGCTTGTATTTATAGACTTCATCCGCTGGTTTCTCGTCCCAATATTTTTTTTGTTAAATAAACAGTTGAGAAGCTTATCAAAAATTATGGATGATTGGTATTGGATTGTTTCAGAAACTGGACTCGTGCTCGATGTTGCCGGGAGAGGAAAACAACCAGGAACACCTGTAACTTTGTATACTCTTAATAATGAGAATGTAAGCTTATAATGAAATTCAAATTATTTTCTGTTTCAAATTAAAATATTATTCTTTATAAATTATCCTAGAACCCATTCAATCAGTTATGGAAAATTGATTGCCAATACATTGTTAGTAAGCAAACCGGATTTGTATTGACACTAAGCAATTGTAAGTGATTTAGATTTGGTTTTAAAATATGGACTTTGGTTTAGAAACTTGTAATAAATTTCTTTGTATTTTTTTAATTAATATGAAGGTCCAATTAGAGGTATCTGCTTTTTGTAAACTGCACTTTATATTTCCTTAATTTAGCAATGGTCTAATTCTCATATTCTGTTTAGACCCAACTTTTGTAATCAAACCAAAGGATCTCAATGATAAAGGTCAACGATGGACATATGACTCGACTAACTTTACATTAACTTGTGGTCTTCCATTTTATGTTGCAACTGTATTAGTAAATATTATTATGTAACGCTAATTTTTGCTCTTTAATATTAAAGATTATTAATGTTTTCTTATAAATACAGGATGCTGTTATAGGTGATCCAAAAGCTCTCGGAGTGAAGCATCTTGGAAATCAAGTTCCTAAAGAGCAAAAATGGATTTTTGTTAAATGCTCAGGATTTGAATATAAATAAAAATAAAATGTACTGTATTTAGTAAATATTAATATGTAATGCTTATTTTTTGCTCTTTAATATTAAAGATTCTTAATGTTTCTTATAAATACAGGATGCTGTTATAAGTAGTGATCCAAAAGCTCTCGGAGTGAAAATTCTCAAATTGCTCATAGTTACACTAAATATACGTATACGTATTAACAAAATAAACACATAACGATAACATGTAGTCATCGTTTTTTTTGTTACTTATACGTACATTCTGATTTGCTACTGAATAGTTATTAATTTGTGCATCGATTTATACGCATATAACAATAATGATAACAATGAAAACAATTGACTCACACAGAAATAAAAATTCTATGAACATTATTATCTTATTACATGTATCTACGTATTTGTTTTACCATCGTATCATGTTTTAAATGTACAGTATATCTGTTATACGTCGTTTCAGAATTCCAAAATGACGTGACTGCTATACGTCGTTTCGGAATTCACGTCAATTCCGAAACGACGTATAACATATCTACATTATACGCATATAAAATGGACATAATCACTAAAAACATTTTATAAAAAACTCAAAAGGTGCAGTATATGTGCTCACTGTCAAAATAATTACTACTGCTTTGGGTGTTCCAATTTTTGCCTTACTCATATTGTAGTAAATACGTTTGTTGTCAAACCAATGATTGTTATATCACAATCAATTTCATGAAGCTGAAAATTCTAGCGAAAATAAATACATGTATATCAGCAGTCTAATAAAAGAATATCACTAAAATTTTGAATGTATCCCTTTTGAAAGTTTACCAATTTTGAATATCTTGCGAAAGGAGGTTTTGGGATTATTTATAAAGCAATCTTGTTGGACGAAAATAAATTTAAACGAGGTGGAAAATGCGAAGTTGTGCTGAAATCATTATGTAAATCAAAAAAAAAAATAATTTCTAAAGTGTAAACGAGATGTTTTTTGTTTATAAGTTTTTCAAAATAGATTCAGTTATATGAATATTATGGATAACTAAAAATCCAGATATAAATGAATACTCGATAGCAATGGATTATGAAAAAATGGTGGGAAATATATTAATTACGAAGCATTTAATTGGAAACAAAATTAAGTTATTAATGGGCTGTTATCAATTCACAATAAGGGATCTGTGCATCACGAAGTTCACTCTGGAAATATATTATTGAATAATGCTCGAATTGCTGACTTTGGACTTTCCATCCTAACAAATATAAAAAAATCTAATCACGAAATTCATGGAGTACTCCCTTATATCAGTCCAGTTGCTAAATGGCAAACTACGTATCGATTTTTCTAGTGTAACTTGTGGCGAACCAATCCGAGCATGATATTAAATCGTTAATTTTAGTTTTGCGATCCATGAATTAATGAAGTCAATAAAAAAAATACTATTAAATGCTTAAAAGGAAAATATTGATTTTTATAACGTTTTGCGTACCCATATAACGAACACTCATGGACAGAGATATTAACGTTAACGTTATACTAACGCTAATGTTAGTAAACGACGACAAATTGCTAAGATCAAGAAAATAATCGTTATACTGTATCGGTATATACCGATACCGATACCGATACGTAGATTTTCGATACGTATGAATAAAATAAATATTTACAAGATAATCCAAGTAAACGATAAAATAAAGTAATTGCTATTTTCTTTTGATATTGCCTTATTCTGTTGGAAGTTTTTCATCTTGAATTTGTAGTTTTTGTTGCAAGACACTCGATATCTCTTCATCCTCTTTGATTTCATGTGGTATACTCAAATCGAAATCGTCTGGAACATATAAACTGACATTTGTAGTGCCTAAATAATAAATAAATAAACTTTAATTAATATGAAATGTTAATATGATTTATATTTCAAAATAAAAGTACCTGTGTCAGTTGGAATTGAAA